CCCCCACCCACACACACACAAAAGACCCCAAAACAAAATCCAAACCACCACCACCCCACCCCTTGAAAAAGTAAGCAGATTTTGCGCGCAGTTCTTTTTTTTTTTTGTCACCAGATTAAATCTAATACAAAAAGGAAGAAAGTAAAATCAAAAACAAAACTAAGAGATAAAAAGCCATCAGCAGCATTCATGAAAAAGTTTCTATTAATATGTTCGTATGCTGCAACTACTAGGGCTAACAGTTTTCAAAGAGTGATTTATGGGCTTCTTGAACTAAAAAATGGTGTGTTGGCAGGTTCTCTGGTATGGTTTGCTCCTTCTTTCCTATATAACATCTATCCTCGTTACCTCTCTTCATTTTTTTGGTGTTTGTTACTCTCTTGTAACACCTCTATTCTTCGGCCCTTATACGAATTAATTGTGTTGCAAATGCCGTAAAACTATAACTAAAAACCAAGAGTAATGGTAGAGTGTACAAGCAACATACGTTGCTCACAGTGGGGGAAAAAAACGTTGGTGAAGCCTCAAGCTTATACATGTACTTATATGTTCTTTCAACCAGAGCGTCTGCCTCATACTCAAATTGGTCGCCTTTTGGAACAAGGGGGCTATCCTCAAAAATGCTGTTTTGAGAAAATCAAAGGTAAAGTTTTTGCCCCTTGTTCAGTTCCTTTAAAAGACATGGATAGTTTTCTCTAAAACCAAACAAATTTACACATTAGTGAAACCAAACTTGTCCTATAGGTAGGGCAATGCCCACTTTTGGTGTAGGTCAAGATTTCTGGGTTAGCCCGCTTGTCCTTGAAATCGACCATTTCTCCGCGGCAGGTTGGAGGGCGCCTCTGAAAGGTCCTACTTCTATACTTTCCTTCCCTTGATTCTGTCTGTCTGTCTGTCTGTCTCTCTTACTTTTTCTCAGCACTAAATGACCATTATCGTGTCGATGTGCTTCCCTTTATTTAAACAAACAAACAGACAAAGAGACAAACAAACAGACAAACAAACAAACAACTCAAAGTATCCGCCCAGCCTTGTAAAACAACAGGACTTAAAGATAATAAGGAAGATTAATCAATTATTCAGCTCGACTGAAGCGGAACAAACTGGTTTCGGGCTGAGATGGCCTTGAGTCATTTACCAGGCAGACAGGTCACAGTATCAGCAGTGAGGGAGATAGTGTCATACTTTGCTCTTCTTCGTTTTGGTGGTGTTTCGAGTAAAGAGTAAAGAGCCCGCTGATGAGCGGGGATATGCGCTATACAAATGCTATTTATTATTGTTATTAAAGAGAATTAGGAGCACATCGGTGCAATAACGGCCATATAGTGCAGTGAAAAAGCAAGACAGGTAGACAGAAGCAACAGAAAGAAAGCAGAAAAGTAGGATCGTCCAGTACCAGTGGCGCCCCCAACCATCCGCGCTTAAATCCTAGACAATAATAATTTCATAGATTAAAAACAAAACAAAACACCCCCCTTCCCATAACAACAAAAACAAACCACGACTGGTACATTAAGCGCCACAATTTTTGACGTGGCCAGGGACAGAGAAGCGTGGCGTCGACAGCTCCCTGCCTTATTATTATGTACCTGGCGGTATCATATTAATTATTTTAAATGTGGGCGCTTTTACGTCCCCATCAACACATTCTGGATCATCTAGGGGGCGGGCTTCCGACCTTGCCTGTCAGGACAAACCCGGGATGAGAGAGGGATACAACATCACAGCAGAAATACCGAGATACTCCGCAAACATTTTCTCACCACTTAAGAATCGAACTCGGGTCTCCTGCGTGCGACAGCGAAGCGCCTTAAGGCCATACCACAAAGGCCGGTGCTTAAGTTACAGGGAGAGAATAAATAAAAGAAAATTAAGTAAGTAAGTAAGTAAGTGAGAAAGTTAAGTCAGTCAGTCAGTAAATCAGAAAGTCAGTAAGTAAATAAGTAAGAAAGTAAGAAGTACGCTCGTAAGTAAGTAAGTAAGTAAGTAAGTAAGTAAGTAAGTAAGTAAGTAAATAAGTAAGTAAGTAAGTAAGTAAGTGAGAGTCACGGAACTGTAGGGCCTACTCACCATGAAAATGATATTGATGGTCACCACCACAATCTTGGACAGTTCTACAGCCACCATCTTGTCTCTGTTATTACAAATTTGGAGTTATGTATATGTGTTTTCTTTCACTTCCGTTGGCAGGTAATAGATTTTTGCTTTAGTTAATCGTTTTCTTTGTTCTTTCACTAACCGTTTCTTTCTTTAACTCCTTACGCACTAAGTTCTTGAGCGCACGTTTAGGTCGTCACTGAGGTTTGTTTGGTTAGCCGAGACCTTTTAAGTGGTCAGATGGAGTCCTATCGCGGGGTATTTGGGGCAGAGAACGCGTCGGGCACCGACGGGCCGGGAATGAGGCTATAAGTTATAAATAGAAGCGTGTCCGCGCCGTGATTGGTGCATCAAAAGATGGGGATTTCACCGTCCCCATGACGTCAGGCTGTTGCGATAGGCTCCGGTAGGCAGTGCACCATTTCGCCGGCACGTCGTATGCTGAAGGGAAACGTTAATGATTTGCTTTTGAAGGCGGGTAACACTAAAATCGAGACGTCTATAATAGAGTATAATATCGTAGAAGTCACAGGAATGTGATTTGTTTGGAGACTGCTGAGAATGTCTTGGAAGGAGAAGAAATCAAACGAGGAAGTACTGGAGGAAGCCCAAGAGGGCCCCTGGCTTATAAAGACACTCAGGAGAAGACATGCAGTTTCTGAGACACTTGAGTTGAATAGACATAATAAAGTAAACGTAAATAGACCCACAATAAACAATACATTTCCAAAAGAGCAAGAACAGACAGGTATAGAAATTCATTCGTACCAACTGCAGTGACGTTACTGAACACACAGTGCCACAAATGAAAGACACACACACACACACACACACACACACACACACACACACACACACACACACACACACAGAGAGAGAGAGAGAGAGAGTTTTACGGAGCGGGTGTTTCAGCACGTGAGACATGTATTTACTAATGTCATGTCTTGTTCTGCGTATGCGTGAGTGCGGGCACCTAAGCTTTGTAACATCTAATGCCATTGTAAACGACCAAGACGAATTTCTCCCTGTGAGATGAATAAAGATTGTATTTGTCATTGTCGTTGTCAAGTATGATCAAGGTCTTGAACATCTAGCTATCACAGGCAAAATTGAAGGCAAACGAGGCACGGATGGACTCGAGAGCAGCCTACTTAGAAAGCCTAAACACTTAGGCGACGGTGAAAAAACATGGCGAAATGGTATGGGTTTAACGCCCCTATCAACACTAATAGGTTATTTAAGGGGCGGGACCTCCTAGTTTAACGTTCGTCTCCTATAGGACCGAGCCAAGTGGGAAGTGCGTGTAAAGTGCCTTTCCCAAGGACACAACGTCGGACCGAGCTGAGGCTCGAACCCCCGAACCCACAATCTCACGATTACGAGTCCGGTAGCCTAACCACTAGGCTACCGACGAAACACTTAGGCGACGGGAAAAGCTCAGGATAGTGTGGCTTTTCTTGAGAGCCCCCGAGCAGAGGAATGAATGAAGAACCAAGATCGCTAATGTATGTCGCAGATCTGGCGTATACGGGATAAAAACTATTTGTAGCCTATGGTTATACTGGAGGCAAAAGACTTGCCCCATTTGTTAAAAAAGCCACACCCACGCAAAAACCATCAACAAATAAATTAAACACAAAACCAAACATAACAATAAAGACTACAAAAACAAGAACAACAACAACAACAAGCAACAACAATAACAACAACAACAACAACAACAACAACAACAATAACAACGAAAATGTTTGGGTTCTTACCTGTTTCGTCTCAGTGAAACAAGAATCTAGAAGTTCAACAATTTCAAGGGGCTTTCAGTCAGTCTTTACCCATTCTCTGGTCTTTCCGATTTGTGTTCACGCTCCCTTTAGCGTTGTGACATGAAAGTAAGCACTTTGGTTTTTACAGCTAGTGTAGGTCTAGTCATTTATATTTTGAATGTTCCTGATGGAGCCCGTTGAGGGCGAAATGTTGAACTTGTGATTAAATTTATGGAAATACTACCAGGTCTTTACCGTTTTACTATCTGCTGTACAAAATGAAGACATCTCGTACAACGATGAAATTTGGAGACTGTGATTTCTATCTCTCTGGAACGCTGCATGTGGAGTTTGGGGAAATTAGATGAGCGGTGTGAATTTGAGAAGACCATTAGTGGGATTAGTACCTCTCTTGGATGTACAGTTTGTGTGAGTTGCGAGCGCCGTAAAACCTTATACTACTACTACTACAGTTTGTGTTTTTCCATCCCAATCTACAAAAGTCAGACCCTTTTAAAGGTGAAGTTTGGCCCTGTCTACCATGTGAGTCACTATTTAGACTAGCTGTCTACTGTGAAGTGAAGAAAACTGAATTGGTTTGGTCATGTAACAAGATCGTGTGGCATTAGAAAGGCTGCAGAAAGAGTCAGGAGCCCAGAGGAGGGGGGCAAAGGAGGTGAAGGGGTAGGGGCAGAAAGAGGAGACGAAAACAGACGACAGAACATTGGTAGAGAGCAGGAAATGAGGTGAAAGGAGACAATTTTAGAGATGAAAATATTTAGGTCGCTACCCGGATTCGAACCCGGGACCTTTGAATGAGAGGCGAACACCTTAACCTCTAGGCCACGAGAGCCCCCAGCGCCTAAACGCCACATCACAGTCGCCGGTGTAAGTAAGTACCTCTCATGTACAAGAAGACAACGCCATTTTCAGTATTGGAACCAATAGCTACTCTAGAATTACAAGCTTCTATCTACTCAGCAGGGGCGAAGCGTCTATATAATCAAATAATCACTGCTTCCCTTTCTAATTTTGAAACATTGTCGCTGTCAAATTCATCCTTAAACGTAAACCTCATAAATTAAATGTCAAAAGACGTTCGTAATCAACAAATAAAGTGAGGCTGGAATAGAGTTGAAGGGAACATGTGCATGGCAGTCAAAGCTGTTTTATTGCCACATATACCCTGTTCAACCCTTTGGGGCCACAGTTAAAATCAATCACCAGCCCTGATTAAGTAAGCTAACTAACACTGGTCGAGTCTACCTCACAAATGTGAGGGGAACTAACTCTTAATAATCTCTTGACTGCTGCTTGTGCTTGTTTTTTTTCCTCGACTTTTTACCGTCCTATAATCAGATCGTGACCTCGATTATGACACCAGCTCCTGGCCGCGAAAGGCTAACAAAAAACAGCCAAATGTGAAAAAAAAAAAAAAATAATTGTCATGTTCTACCAAAGAGTTAGACTCACTGGTAGATCTATAACATATAGATCTAGTACTGACATCTCTGCTTCTTTGCTTTATGTTTATGTATTCACATCTAAAGTTAAGTTTAATTTTAGTGGGAACTGATATTTAATAAGATACTTTCCCGATTATTTTGGCGGTTGAACATACAATATGAATTCCGGATTTGTTTTCATTCACAACTCAGAGTCGCCGCCTCTAGTAAGATTCTTGTGTGATATCTACAGGCCCTATCTGGTCCCATTTCACTTTGATTACCCTGTCAAACAAGTCAGCCTTCGCCCCTGCTACTCAGAACCAAATTTCGAGAAATTTGACATCATAGTCAACAATTCTGAATTTCACATGTCAATTTTTTTTCAAATGCATTTCTTTGAATATCTTGATAACGACTCAGATTAATCTTACGATTTTGAAAGAACAGACAGAACATTTGATTTCTGATCTCACGGTCTTAGTAACTTAGAACGACCCAAAATGTCAGATAGACATGTAATTCTGAGGTAGCGAAAAGCCAGCAAAACCAATCTTTTGAATACCGCTCTATTGTCAAACTTCTTTTTTAATTTTTTTTTAATTTGCAAGAAAAATCACCAGCGACAATTTCGAGGCGATGTTAAGTGATTATCATGCTGGTGGAATAATATACCCTTCTTTTGAAACTGTTAACCCTATCCGTACGCCCTGGGTTCATTTTGTACCCCCAGGGTTGTATTGTCCCCATTTTAGAATACTTCTAGTACGAAAATCTCTTTGAAACTTTCAGTATTTCTATTTTTAAAAATCCCTTTGACTGACTGCTAGGCAAAGCGCACGGATCGGATTAACGAGTAAATTTCTTTTTGGGAAATTGGTGGCACAGAGCTCTCAGAGTCGTATGGATACGATAATAAAACACGACGTACGGATAAGGTTAAATACTGGGGAAGGAAGTTCAACTCAAACTTTCTTTGTGGGTGATTGGCGGGTGTTCTGGTGTGGTTTGCTCCTTCTTTCGTATCAAACATCTATCGTCACTATCTCTTCTCCTTCTTTTTTTGAGTTTGCTACTTTCTTGTGGCACTTCTAATTTACCGGCACTTATATGACTTTGTTGTGTTGCAAGTGCCGTAAATCGCTTACAGAAACCAAAGACTGTCTTTGGCGTCTCTGGTGCTCTTATCGTGTATTTTTCCTCCATCCCTGCACTAAAAGGCTGTTTTTTGTTTCGTAGCGTCTTCTCATGAATCAAACAAATAAAGGATCAAACAAATTAATAACATAATCAGCAATGGAAACAACGAACAATAAGAACAATAACAGCAACAGCAACAATAAAAGCAACAATAAAAACAGCAGCAAAAACAACAACAACAACACCATCGTCAACAACAACAACAACAACAACAACAGCAACAACAACAACAACAACAGCAACAACAACAACAAAGAAGATGAAGAAAAAGAAGAAAAAGAAGAAGAAGAAGAAGAAGAAAAGAAGAAGAAGAAGAAGAAGAAGAAGAAGAAGAAGAAGAAGAAGAAGAAGAA